TCTCATTAGCTGGGTCACCTCAACTTGAAACAAATACAACGCATGAGGCATGATTTCATACTACTCACGCAAGTACTAAAAGAAAAAACAGGTTTGAAAAGGTTGGAAAAGACCTCTAAGATCATCAAGTCCAACTGTCAACCCAACACCACCATGGCCACCAAACCATGTCCTGAAGTGCCACATCTACAGGTGTTTTTTTAACGCCTCCAGGAATGGCAACTCCATCATTTCCCTGAGCAGCTTATTCCAATGCTTGACCATGCTTTCAGCAATGAAATTTTTCCTATTATCCAATCTAAACCTCCCCTGGTAAAATAATTCTGTTAATCTATGTGCCTTTATCTCTAACCCAAGCCTGTGCACATTGAACCACTAATTAAAAAATAAATCTCTGCAGAGTGTGTATGGCAGAGGTGAGCATCCCCTGGGCAGTCCCTACTTTGCCCCTCCAAGCAGTATCCCTCTCCCCTCAGGGATGGGGCAAGAGGAGGCTGGATGGTGCTGGGGGTGGCAGAGCCCAGCTCCCAGAGCACCACCATGGTACCTGGGCTCTGCAGTACAATGTCCAGCTCTCACACTGTTGCTGCCTCACCCTCAGCCCTCTGTGTGGAGGTGAGGCCAAGAGTGTCAGTGGAGAATAAGAAACCAGGGAGGATGAGATTGAGCCTCCTTCATCAGGCCTCTACCCTGGGCCTCCATGTTGTGGCTTAACCCCAGGAAAGCACACACTCTGGGCCACAGCGGCCTCCCCTGACTCCAGCTACTGAGTCTCCCCTGAGATCCCCCTCATACACACATATACACATAGCCTGGCTAGCAGCTTTGGGGTCCTGGAAGACCTGGCTGTGAGTGCACACACAGAGCCTGCTCCTCAGTCACCACACAAGGTGGTTCAGGGGTATGCAGAGGGCACATTTTCTTCATCCCCCCATATTTACTGCATAGTGGCAATGGTGCTTCTCTGCTGGTGGCCACAGTGTTAGTGCTGGGGTGTTGTTTTGGGCACTTTGTGCCTTGTCAGCACTCTTGTGGTTTAAACCCCTCCCTGGGATCATACCAGTGAAGCCTAACCCTGCCCAACACCGCACAGGCTGTAGCAGCACTGTGCCCATCAGCACAGTAATGGGGTGTTATTATCTTCACTCTATAGCGTCTTGCTCAATGACTGAAGCAGAATGAAATATCACAGTAATTAAATCATGGTGAAAGCTCATCACCTCAAGAAAGTTGTGACTCCTCAGGATAGGCTCCCCTAGGCATCCCTCTCTTCCTAAAGGTAACCTGTGTTGGAGAAAGGCCCCAAATGCCAAGATGTCAACTGCTCACTCAGTCTTTTTGTGAGAAATCTGGGTAAAAAGCTCCCACCCTGGCCCCAGCCCCAGCTGAGGGGAATGCTTTCCCTTGGCTGAGCTCCAGGAGGCCAAGGTCCCCACCCAGGTGTGGGCAATTGGTGCTGCCAGCAGCCATTTCACTCACAGCAAGGCAGGTAGACAGAGCTAGGGGATCTGGTGTGCCCTGGTCATCTTTGAAGAGAAGCTGCAGTCAATGGTATCTGTCTTCTTGACAGATCACAATCTTGTAACAGAGGCTTACTTTTCTAATAGGAATGTGTTAACGTGGAGGTCTCTGGGAGGACAAGGACAATGAATCTTGAGCTGTAAGTTTTGGCTCTTCTCTGTGTGTTGCCTTTGATATCTTTTGAGCTTTGGAGGAGAACATAGAGAGGCTTATCTATGCCTGTGATCACACCCCTTGGTATTTCTGACTGACCACTGGCAAATATTAAATGAGGTAGGCAGCAGACTTGTGGAGTAGCCTCAGTTGTTTCTTCATAACAAGCTAAGAATGAGTTATAGTTACTCTTAAAAATGGAATATCTTTGAGCACCTAAACCCCTCTCTTTTTCCTGTTTCTGTTCTGTTGAAAGTTTTTTTTTGTTGTAAACTATTGGATACAGTCTTAGCTTTTAAAATGTAGCTTATACAGATGCCAAATTCTTGCTGACTTTTAATAATATGTTTAGCTTCAGAAGCTAAAAGAGTCTTGAGAATAAAGAAACTCGAAAGTATTAATGTTTGTTTTTATGTTTGGCTAATGTTAACTTTTTGTACTTTCTTGCAAATGGTGATGAAGAGTTGTATCTATCCCTGTCACTTGAGGGTAATTTGTGTTCTGCCCCCACTGCCTCCCCTCTCCTTTTTTTTATTTTAAAATTTATTTTTTGTGCCTTATGTGGAATGACCAGAGCAAATTCTTTGATGTTGACATGCATGCCTCTATTCTCATGAGTATGCTCATTTTAGTGATACACATCAGAAATCCTAGTCATAATCCGTGATGGTTAGGATACCACATTCAGAGGGACTATCTAGAAAATGGTTTGGCTTTTTTTCTAGGTAGTTCTTCTGCTTTTAGGATTGCAGCCACAGATAGAAAAAAACTGAATTATGTTTAGTGTAATATGCTTAAGCTCAGGTAATATCTATGGCTATACATTTATGTGGGTTTTTTGGAAGAAATTACTCATTAGGATGTGCTGTATGAAAACTTGTAGGAAATTGGGCATGATTTAAGCCATATAAATGGTTTCTAATTAAAAAAATAAAGGTCAGTCATTAACTTGACTGTTTTATAACCCCAGAATTGTCGAGGGCTTGGTTTTGCAGTATAATTTGCAGTGTAATTACTGCTGGTGAATTATCATTAGATGTAATGGGAGTGCATCGAGTCTGTAATGCAAGTTTACAGAGAGAGAGGGAAAGAGAATGTTTTAGAACTACTTATGTGTTTCTCTTACACATTCAGTGCACAGTATCTTTATATTACTTCTGCACTATACTCATTTCTGGAAGATTTTAGTAGTAGAAGAGCTTTTTAAAGGGGTCAGAATCTACAAGTACTCTAGTTGTAATCAAGAGTTAGATCCTTATCAGTTCTAGTCAGTGGAAACTCCCATCAAGGTAGTATTCTGCTACCACAGTTCCCTCAAACTGTGCCTCAAGTGATCCTTACTGTGTATCTTCAGATGGACTAAAATTATGTGAGCTTTCAAAAGCCTTTTGTAAGCAATAATGCCATAAAAGGTAAAATACTGTAACAAATTAGAAATTAAGTAGGATAACAGAAAGGAAAAGCAAGAATGGAGTCAAAAAGCAAAATAACTTAAAATGGTCTTGCAGGTTTTGCTGTACTAGCTCTTGCTAGTGTATTTATGAATGCTGAGTGATAAAAATGACAAAAATATGAATCAATTAAGTGAAAACTAAAAAAAAAACAACAAATAAACAACAAAACAGAGTGTGCAAAGTCATCTGATCCACTTACAACACTTGAGTTTTTGTAGACAGAAGGCTTCTTGTGCATAAGCCACAGGCCCCTCAGGATAGTATTTGCATCAGAGAAGTAAGTGATCAAGAAGCACAAAGAAAAAATCATGATAGTTCAAAATAATTTACTTGCATGTGTTATTCTTTCCAAACTGAAGTAACAGCAGTTATTTAACAATGACCATAGCACAGATTCATAAAGGTGTTTTGCATCCTTTCAAAAAAAAACAAGGCACCCAGCAAAGTTTTTAAAGGGTGAATGTTTATTTTTCTTCTTCTTCTTCTTTAATAAAAGGCAGAGGAAAGCAAGTGAAAACTCTGGTAGGAAGAGAATGTTACTAAAAGTAAAAGTTATATAAACCAATAGGATGTATTTCTCTAGAATGATGTATTGTTTTCAGTAGTCTTTGGTGAAAGGGAAATTGCTAATAAAGAAGCTCAGATGTGTGAGGAATACGTAAAGCAGAAGTGACCTTGATCTCATTTAACACAAACCACAAGATAATGAACAGTTAGTAATCATCCAGCAGGTGATATAGAAGTATAAATCTCTTAAAGCGGTAACAAATCTCTATAGAAAGTTATTCTCTTATTAGCCACCGCTTTCTTTATTTTTCCCAGTATGTTTTTTTTTTTTTTTAAAGAGGTGGAGGGTAAGTTTCTTACAAATGCTACATTATTTTTAAAAATCCTATCAGAAGTACTTTCTACAGATTATATATTATATATATATATGTGTGTGTGTGTATGTATGTATGTGTGTATGTATACATATATAAAAAATCAGCAATTTCATTCTCGCACTGAGCAGTGATGAAACTGAACCTAATAGACCAGACAGTTTAGAGATGATAAATCATAAGCAGAAATCTAATTACTTATTGGCTGGGGGTGAACCCAGATACTTAACTGCTGAACTGATCCAACTTGGCAATTTGGCATTCTTATGCCTTTATGTTTCTATTCAGTTATTTTAAATCTAGATTTAAAAGGTGGAAGGGAGTACCTGTCTGGAAGTTTAAGAATATGAATATTAATTATCAAATATGGATGCTTATACATCTACACCAAAAATTTAGGAGAAGCAACTGATTAAAACTGGTGCTCACGCTTCCAAAATAGTTTAGCAAGTGGTAGCGTTCAAATAAATTATCAAAAATATAGGGTAAAATAGAGAAGTGCTTTACTGTATAATTTTTCCTTAGTAACATTTGAATGGTGCTATTTTTCTTGTTTGTTTTGTCTTGCTTCATGCCAGATGTTCTTATCAGGGAAAACAATGGTGATGTGTTTTAATATTTATGAGTCGATTCTTCTGGGAATAATAGTATATCTACCTTCTCAGAACACGTATTGTGGGATTTTTTTTTTTATGGTGTAATTACCATAATGCACTGAATTTTAAGTGCAACTCTTTAAAACCGTGGGAGGTACTTTTTGTTTGTTATCTTTCTTTCTATCTGCTTTCAGAGTGACTCCTTTTAAAACTAGGTATTGTGTTTTGGTGGCCTTTAAAGAATAAACAGAATAAACACCAGCAGTACTGTGTAACCTGTCAAAGTAACATATGCTTAAGCATCTTATAAATTATTTAATAATCATAATATTTCCCACAGAAATGTGAAATGTACCTTGCTTTAACTTTTTTTTTTCCCCTCCAGGAACTTGAAGTCCTGAAATTATAAATGATTGGGTGAACGAGTTGCGCTTGCAATGCAGGCAATAAAAAGTGTAGAAAAAGAAGTGACTCTTATAAAAGAAACCCTTTTCACCAAACCCTTCCTAAAGATCCAAGAGTGCAGCAGAAACTCGGGGAGCGGGCGGCTCTGGGAGCAGCAGCCATTGGCAGGAGCTGTCTGCAGCTCGCAGTGCTGTACTGAGCATGTCCCAGCCGAGCCCAGGCCGAGCAGCACATTATGCAAAAAGGCAGCTCTAGCAGATGGGAGAGAGGCAGAGCAAGCGTTTGCTTCGCTTGCATCACCGCTGCTTGCAAACAAACCTGGATCGCTAGAGGGGATCTCACCAGCAGGCCGAGGGAATGAAATCCGGGAGCATGGCTTGATTGCTGGAGGCGTTGCGCTGCAGGAAATCATGGGGAATCAAGATGGGAAGCTAAAGAAAAATGCAGGTGATGTGCATGAAGGAGGAGAGGATGCTTCTGGGCCCAAGGATGCAGACAGCACGAAGAAGGTATCGGGAAGCAGAAGGGGACTGGGGAAGCATGCAAAAGGAAGTGAATCTGGTAAGAAGAAGGGTAAGTCGGACTCAAGGGCCTCGGTGTTTTCAAATCTGAGGATCAGAAAAAATCTCTCCAAGGCTAAAGATGGGAATAGCAGTTCACGGGAGGATGTTTTGGAAAGCCAGGCCTTGCATGCTGGAGAGCTGGACAGTACTCATTCAATTGTAACCAAAACTCCAGATATAAGCCTTTCTGCGGACGAAGGGGGTCTCTCAGACACAGATGTTGAGCATTTTGAAATCAGAAATGAAACTGTCCCAGCTGCTGCCGAGACACAGGATGGACAAAGGACCAGCTCTGGCTCTGATACAGATATATACAGTTTCCATTCAGCTACAGAACAAGAGGATTTGCTTTCTGATATCCAGCAAGCTATTAGACTGCAGCAGCAGCAGCAGCAGGGGGCAATTAACATTGGAACTGAGGACCTTGTCACCAAAACAATGGGCCGACACACGGCTAATTCGCAAGCAGCCCCCTTCGATTTTGAACGGTTTCTTTCAGTCACTACTGCTGACAAAGAGAGGAGCCCTGACAATGAGGGGGCTTTTCCAGCAATATCTGAAATTGCAGAAAAGCTTCCTGTCTCCTGTGCAGCTGAACGGGAACTGAAAGAAGCGGTAAATGGCACAGGCTCTCCTGGTAGCAGCGTAGTTGAAACACAAGAATGTAAGCTTTTGATTGAGGAACAGGAACAGCTCATTGCTGGAGTGGATGCTGTAGCTAGTGAACTGGAAGACAACTTAAATAAAGCTGTGATAGAAAACAGATCTCAGACACGCAACTCCACACAACCTTTTTCAACCTCGGTAGCACATGCTGAAGCTAAAACTGCGGAAGCGGAAGTGCAGGCTGTTGATTTGCAGGACTCGGTAACAGAGAATGGTGTTTTAGATGCAGGCCGTGATCATGCTGCTGGGATTCAGGAAGGGATATGCACTCTGTCAGCCAGTCAAAAGGACCTGCATAATGGTTCATCCACGGAAATTAAAAATGGAATTTTGTCCTCTGAGGGGACAGCAGACAGTCCAATGCTTGGTTCTCGATGCTTTAAGCCCTATCTAATTAATCCTTGTTACATCAAAACCACAACTAGGCAGCTGAGTTCCCCCAACCATTCACCATCTCCCTCCCCATCCCAAAGCCCGCTTTTTACAAGGAAACAGGAGTTTTTCCACAGGAAAGAAAAGGTCTCAGTCAAGAAGAAGAGGTCTGCTAGTTTGGCAGGTTTATTTAGTCGTTCTGCAGACTGGACAGAAGAGGTGTCTAACCATAAGTGCGAGATTACGCAGAAGGTGGGCTCTGCAGGCTACTTGGAGCACCAGGGGTTTAGAGAGAAATTTCAATTTGACTCATTCAAGAAAGTCCTCAGGGGTGCAGGCTTCTACAGAGGCATTTCCCAATGTCTTTTCAGGTGAGTGACATGTATTAGAGTCTTTGAAAATATGTTTAAAATACTTCAGTCTTTTGCATGTACTATCGTCTTAACTTGTGCTGACAGTTTTAAAATCGAAGGCCTGACCTTAGAAGCCCAATCACATTTCATTAAGGAGAATAGCCTTTCTATTTGGTGTCAGCCTGCCCATGCTGCCAGAAAAGGAAGTGTGTAACTCTTTGAAGTTTTTCTTTCTGCTTTCCTCCCTTGTCTAACTCTTGTAAGAAAAGGCTGGGTGCCTTAAATTATTCCTGTTGAAAAAATGCTAAGAGCTGTGCTGTTGTATGCAGACCAGCCTTCTGCATAAATAGACCTTTCAGATGCGAAGCTTTCTGTAACTGGGATCCTGTTTGAGGCTTTCTTGTGCTGGATGCTGTTGTGGTGTACTGTAAATATTTGAGAGCTACACCTGGTGTCAGGCTGAGGCAGAGATGAGGATTTGCCTAGTGCAGAAAGAAAAAAAGCTGTGCAAGCACAGATGGACAGCGCTACAGACAGGAACCAATTTTCCCTTCAGAAGGGGAAAGAGGAGGAAAAAAAGAAATGTTAGTGACTTGAAAAGGCAGCATAAAATGGAGAAGGAAACTGTGGATAGTCCGATTTTTGTAGTTGTGGCAGGCTCCAGCTACGTAAGATCACTTATTCAGGAAAGCATGCTGTTACCTTGCCTCTTAGACTGTTTGCATCCTCTGACAGAGGCATAGGAGTATTGTGTTTACAAATGAAATAGCGTGAATAGATGTTTATATTTTCCTGTACTTTAAGGATTTTTATCTCCTTTCTCTTCCCCCTATCTGAAGTTTCTATGGAAGGTTAATGTATTCACAAATAGAGAAGGCCTCTGCCACACAGGAGGGATATACATACAGAGGAAACTCAGCAACATGTTCCACTTATTTTTCATTTCAGAAAACTGTAGAATTAAGAGAATACAGAGAACATGCCCTACAAGCCTTACGGGATTAAACCACCTGAATCTGAAATCAAGTGCATTTTGAATGGAAGTCTGCTCTAGAGGCATGTGCACAGTAACCACATGTGTATGGTAGCTATTTCCAATAAGTGCAATGAGAAGTTTTTTGTCCTACAAAACAGTATAATTTATGAAGGGGGCAACACCATGATTTAAAAGCCACATGTAAAAAAGCAATTAAGCCATCAGCAACTCTTTTGCATAGAAATACTATCTTGTTTTATACTATAGATTTTAAAAAATTGTATAACTTTTAATAATTTGCATTCATAATGGATTTCTTTGTGCACATTCTACTCCGCTTGCCATCGCAGTAATACTGATGAATGAACCTGTCTGGAAACACAAAATTAGTGCCTTTTTCACACAGCAGCCAACTCCAGGACTTTGAAATACTTGGGTAACATATTAACATTATTTTCCAGATTCAAATCACAAGAATATTTCCATTCTTCAGTAGCCTTGAACAGAAATCCCCAATTTCAGTCTCGAAAATTAGAATTCAAGATGTAACATGAAAAGGTAACCCCCTCTAAAGAAATGAGGTAACCCCCCTGTGAAATGAGCTGAATAATGTTTGTTTCAAATCCCTTCCACCTGTTTTCCAAGATTTAATTTCAGACAACACTATCTAAAGTTTTACAATTTGAGGTGATCACTACTTTCAGATTTATAGTATATAAAAAGCACACTTTTTTTTTTGCTATCAAAATTGGACAGTTTATAAATAACTCAGCAAAGTTTTAAATTGCATCATCAGTGATTAGACTTTCTTCTTTATGGTTGTGCTATGATGAAGATCAATGATAAACTTCACAAACATGGAATTACCTTTTAGAGACCTGTTTTCCTGGAAACAGACTTTTTCACATTTCCTTACAAGGTTTTGATTTACTTAATATTTTTTGTTTTATTGTGTTTTCCCACCAATGCTTTAGACTGTTATCGTGAAGGGACCAATGTCCAATGGAACAGCAGTTCTGTGCTTATGGAAATTACAGTGACCCTCATTTGCATGTACATACCAGCTGTCTTCACAAGCAGAGGACAATTATACCTTTCAGTTCATGCAGAAAAGCCTGAGATGAGGGAACTGGAAATTACAAGATAACATTTCATCTCTTTTTGATCATTCTTATTTTGAAAATATATTTATAAGCTGCAAATTATCAAGGGTGTAAAAATAACAACTACTGTACATGAAAAAAAGGGAAATTAAACTGAACATTAGTATTCCCACAGACTGGCTGTCATTGCTGTAAGAACAGAAAAGCCTCTATTTAAACCAGTCTGCACAGCAACAATCACAGAAATAATTTCATTGTAATTTTAATACTGCTTTTGAAAGATGTTGTATTTTAATTGCGTGTATGAGATGCATCAATTTGAGGATTACCATCAGGCTTTTAGAAATAACATTCTTTTATAGTGGCTCATTTCTATCTTAAAAAAAATAAATCAGCTTCTTGCCTAGAGCATTAAATCCCATCTTTCTGTGCAGTGACTGCAGTGTTGTTCTGCATTTTTACCTAGAATCAAGTAAAATATTCCACAACACTTTAGTCATCGATTTTAATGACAGCAGGTTCTGTGCAGGTGAGTGGCCTACTTCTGCACTATGTTGTGGTGTGGCTGTGTGCCATTTGGTTTTCACAGTGATTCATATGAACTCTTATGAGGCTGTTTTAATGTAAAATGTAGATGGAAGCCAACAGCTGCAATGGCAGAACGTTTGCATATTTTAATTTTGCTTTATATAAGAAGTAAGTACAGGATGGTATTTCACATTTCATGCATTGGCTAAGAATGTGGTGTGGGCAAATCTATGGGCACTTTGTAATTTGGGCATAGGATCTATTTCTTTTGTGATAAGGACAGCTGTATTTGAAATTGCAGTGACAGTAATTACAAGTTCTAGATTACCTGACGCACAGTGTAGCTGTGGCTTTTATGTTGTGGTCCCAGGAGGACAAGAACTGAACCTGAATTAATAGGGTATGTGGCAATTAATGATTTCCACTAATGTTAAGAATATCTTGGTGGGAAAATGAAATTTATGTTTCCAAATATGAACATAACTGAAACAGAAGAGCTAATAGATCGATTTAATAAAAAGAGCTTCATTCCAGCATTAATTTGAGGTGCAGTGATTACAGAGCATCTAGTAAGGGTGTCCATTACGTGAAATGAAAGTAAGAGTCCCATCAACTGCCCCAGATGGTAATTAAACTCGACTCGGATGATCCCTTTCTAATCTCCATTGGCTGGCTGTGACACACTTGATGGAGGAATCCCTTTCAAACAGATAATTTAGCTTTAAGTTTCTCTTCAGAGATTTGTTTGTCCTGCTCTAGCTGTAAACAGGAGACAAATAAACAAAAAATCATGGTTACCATAAAACAAAACCTGAACTCAGTCCTATGCTTGTATCCTCACAACTGCTTTCTGATTTCCATGGGGTGCCAGCTTGCTTCTCATAAAGGGCACTTTATCTCATATCTACCCTGTGCTAATATCATCTGCATCCACTTGCAGATCCAGTGCAGCATCTACAGGCATATACAAACTTCTTACTATAGTTAAATACATAAAAACTTAAAAAAAAAAAAAACACAAAAAAAACAAAACAAGATGAAAGTTTGTTTCTCAGATGTGAAGTGGATCTTTTTAAATAGTTTTCAGGGCTTTTTTTCATTCTGACTCATGTGATGAGGTACACAATGTAGATTTGTATCTATTAGCATCCTGAGGAGACTATTTATCATGCAACTGTTTTTTAAGATTACATATGGTTTACTGTTTCACTGATGATGTTTGTTAGCAGTAATACAAATGTTTCTATTATCCCATGGTGGGACAGCGCAGGCCCCTCTAGGCAAGGGAGCTGCCCAACAGCAACCTTTTATGTGATGCACCATCATGCACTGTGCTGAGTGATGCTAGTAAGCGTCTGAAGGGAATGATCCCCCTCCTTTTGCCTAGTAAACCCAAACCTGAGGTGGGGGGTGAAAAGGTGGCCATGCTGCACTCCAACTGCAGTCAAATGTGTTTGAAAATGGGCTGCAATATATTATTGAAAATTGCTGAGTGCTGATAATTTACTTTAATGCTAACATGTCAGCACTTCTAGATGGGAATCGGAGCTACATGAGAAACAGCATGGAGTACAGTGCTGACAGGGTTGTTTTGATGGGGCCTTGTGATGAATGCTTTAATCTGTATCTAGAACTTCATTGGGAGTAGCAGGTTTTTGTTGTGGAGTTGAGTGGCTGCATCTCTTGGGCACCTCTGTTCTGAGCAGTAACCCCACCTGAGGTCTGACTGGCAGCCTAACACACGTCTGGACTAGAAATGTATTGTGTTGGATGCCTGCTGGTCTTTTTTGGGATGCAAAGGGGGAAAGAGAAAGGCAAAGGGACAGTTTCTAGGTGGAAGTCCATGCAGATCTGCTTGGGATGCAGTATCAGTGTGATATCCATCGCCCATGGGATCTGGGTGGAACTGGTCAGTAAAGGACATCACGTGCTTCAGTGATTTCATTTCTGTGAAAAGAGCAGTGGATTATTCCAGTGGTAATAGTTATGTAAAATTTAAATTTGAATATATTTCTTGGATCTAATTGTGCTTTATTATATTTTAATATTTATAAATTATTAAATAACTTGGGGAGGTGTGGTTTGTCCATTTATTTTTATTTTAAGCTGTGTGTAGGCCTCCTTATTACAGAAAAAACTATTCTTTGAAGCAAGCCTCTTGTTTTTCTCCATGCTGTAGTGTCTAAAGTAAAATAAACTTGGAATTGAAAAGCATCTTTAGGAATATTTAAGGCTGCCTGTATATGAGGAATCAAGTTCTAATATGAATCATAGTGATACAAAATGCAAAAATACTAATTAGCCAAAGAATTTTGTTTTTGCTGTAGTTTAACCAAGCTCAGGATATGGCCAAGTGTATTGTTTATAAAATACTTCTGCCAAAATTTGAACTTACATAAGGAATAGTGGTG